CCGCATTGAACATACGATTCTGAAGCAGATGTAAGGGCACACTGAGCGTGGAAAGGCCAAACTCCCGATCCAAGCCCAGTTCCTTGAAACCGAAGAAATCCTCATCAATATCCTCAGCAAAGTCACCGCCGACGAACTGTTCACTGCCATCGGCAAATGCGTTTGAGCCATCTTCGCCGCCTTCTAGAGCGGGTCGAAGGAGTTCCGTCAGGAGTGACCTGAGGCGATCATTAGCAGTTGTGAGCTTGGTCCCCAGACGATCCACATCGTCCTTGATATAGCATTCCAATTCATCTATGTGGATCCCCACGGTGGACAAGGTGTGCAGGACGATTTCAGAATGAGTGTATGCAGGTTTCCATTCGGCGGCTGAAGGTGTAGCTTCATGTGACTCGGTGGTAGGAACCTTCGGGGTTTCCATATAAGACTTGAAAGTGGACCCCAACTTATGGAAAAAGTCGGCGGCAATGTCAGTAACCGCTTCGAGGGCAGATGGCTGGTATTCCTCGAATCCAGTGTGATAGAAAACCTTAGCGACTGAGCGTTGCAATGCTGCCCTACAGGCCCAGGGGGCAATGACAGGGCCGTTGTCATTCATGACATGTGGTTCGATGTCTTGCTCCTGAAATGGCTCGGGTTGATATTTCTGGAATTGATTTTGGTACATCTAGGGAAAGGTTAGCCAAGTTACCGGGCCATAGCAGGGTAATAGGGTCGCTTACCTGGGATTGAAGCTGCATCTGCTTGACAATGCCAATTTTTGAGCAGATCTTACGCGTTTCTTGCATCTGGCGCATGTTCGAGTTCATCTTGCGGGTCAACTTGCTATCCGGTTGGATAAAACGACCTTTTTCAAGCACATGAAGGAACTCCTCAGAGGCATCAACAACATTGCCTTGCGCGTCCTCCTTCCAGAGTAGCCGCTCAGGAAGGTCAGGGACACCAGACATGACATCATAATAATAAGGGAGCATCTGGTCTTCTTCCACCTCAATGCCTTCTGCAAGGCTCTCGCCTGCTGCCTCCGGTTCTAAGGCTTGAGAGTCCCCATCGCGAGACTTGTCAGCTTCGATAGTAGCTTGTTTCTGGTGTCGAAGCCATCGGCGCATGCCAGCTTTACTTCTGAGCAAAGCGGGTTCTTCGGAGTTGAGTTTGTCTCCCCGGAGGAGACGATGTCGCTCCGCCGCAACTCGCGCTCTATCTTTCTTGGTGACTTGCTTCCACACTTTGTACTCGGGGTCTTCCGGTTCTACGCCGCCGGAAACCGACATGGCACTGAGCGCAGTTGTCGACGTACTCGGACCGTCGATATCCATTGAATCATCCTGGCTCGCTGTAGCTATCGCTCCTGAACCAGCAGGGTCAGACGGCGTGTTAGATCCAGGAGGCGGAGTGGAAAATCCATTTTGACTAGCTTCACCAGCAGCGTCCGAATCCGCGCGAGCTGGCGCAGGTGGCTGAGTGCTGGGGGCCCTGGCGGGACTGGGAGTATTTCGGGAAGGGGCTGTTCCTTTTTTGGAAGTCTTCTTGCCGGGAGCCTTTCTGCCTCGTGAAGACATGATGGGCTCATCGTCACTCTCTTCGGCGCCATCGTTATCGGCAAGCTGGAGTCGTCGTTCTTCGGCCTCAACTTCCGCACGGTCCCTGATGACAATATCCGGGATGAGAGGGACAAGCTTCTCAGTCTCCTTGCGCATGTAAAGTGCGTGCTTCCGGAGAGGATGTTCGGTGTTGGTATTGTATTTCAAGCAATTCGCCCAAATGAGGGTGAGGTCATCGACGAAGTCTTGTTTCGATCTATACTGCAAGCCTTTCAGCTTTTTGGTCATTGATCCAAGGTCCATTGGGTGCTTAATGACTAATAGGAAGTTAGTAGATGAAGCAGATCATTTGCGGTGAAAGGGCTGCTTACTCGTATGATAGTCCGGCGCATCGCGTTTGTTGACACGAGTCAAAAAAGCAGTTGAATGTTCTGTCATAGCCTTGAGCTCACTGAGAACCTTTTCTGCAGCTTCATAGAGCTCTTCCTGGCCGACCTTGTCTTCGTTCGCCCATTTGCTACGATTCTTGCGAACCTCACTCAGCAAGCTCCGAAGTTCAGCATCCGACGCCTGCACCCGGTCTCGCTTCTTATCAATTCGTGCAATAAGGTTTTTCAGAGTCAAACTGGAAGCGCCCAGGTTGGTATTACTCAAGGAACTGTAGCCATTGGAAGCCCCCGAGACATTGTTGCCGCTCATGTTAGCCTGGCCGGATATCTCTGCCTCAACTTGTCTCTCCGACTCCTCTAGGCGCTGTTGATCAAGCATAGCATCCCTGTCATTCTCAAGGGTGTAAAACAGAGTGTGGAAGCTTCTTCTGGCGGCCTCCTCCGTTGCTTTCTTGTCTTCCTCGAGTTGCTTCCGGAGATCTTCCATCGTCTCCTTCTTGGGCTCTTTTAGTCCATCTGATATCGAGGTACCGGGGCGGGATGCTAATGGCACGGCACCACTAGGGTCCTGTGACGCAGCGGTGGACTTGGGTTTTAGAGGCGATTCAGCAGCATCGTCCATTTCCTCGTCCTCGTCATCATCATCGTAGTCATCGTAATCATCGTCGTCGAGCTTGCGAGCAGACTTGTGTGGGGCGGTGGAAGGGGGAGGCGCATCATCGACGCGTTCGGGTTGAGCTTCGGACGCCTCAGTAGTTTCCCCAACCGCAGGGTTATCGTCCGAATATTGCCCGGAGAACAGCGCACTTATTTTCGCCTCACTGCGGCGATACAATTCACGGAATTGAGCAATGCGCGGGTCCTCTTCGGGCGCGATATCGGCTTCGGATGTCGAGCTAGGGTTCGGCGCTTCGGCGCCAACAGAGCCGCGTATTTGGGGCGTCCGGGAGCCAGATAAAGTCTTCACTAAGCCATTGACTGGGCGGGGAGAGTCCTGGAGATCATCTGGGGGCCGTATATTGCCCGGAGGCCAGGCGTTGTGGCCGAGCGACATGCTCGCTCCAAAGCCCCGGTTTTGGGGCGGGCGAGACTCGATTCTCCGCGATTAGGATTACGGGCCGATCGAACGCGACACAGGGGTCGGGGAAGGGACAAAAGGCATAGAGATAGAAAACACCCCCGGTAAAATTGACTGAAGATGTCAAATTGGCAAAAAATGATAGCGTGGGGGTGAGGTTTGATGAACAAGGTCCGGGGGAGCTTCATAGGAAGTTTCTCTGGACGGGGATGAAGTACAGGGCATGAAGGCGGAGTCAACCGGCAGATCTTGTCTCATTGTCACTCTACTCTTTCAACTTGCGATCAATTGCTATTGTTCACATCTTGTCTTATTTCAATCTATTATTATCTGTAATCTTTACTTGAGCTTATTGTGGATTTGTCTGTTCCTATATCAGATTTCCACTTTCTTTGTTGTGAACATCCCCCATTGCTCCGCATATGACGCACCAGGCATCAGCTGGGGCCGAACTCCTCCACATTTGACAGCTCTCTCTCTCTCTCCGAAGCCTGGACAGTCACTTTCACAGATAAAGAGTTTCAATCGAAGCTTCTTCTCACTTTCTTCCTCACTGATCTAATTCTCGACCACCATGCGCATTCGTTATCCTTTTGCAGGTAAGCTTTGCTTACTTACTTACCATTCTGGTTCCGGCGATCTCCCCCAACTAACCCGCCTCAGGTGCCTTCATCTTCCTGCTCTTCTTAGCCGGTTACATCGGTCTTCTTCCACACAGCACCTCTTCAACAATACCAACACAGCTTCAACCCAATGACAAGTTCCTCCACCTCGTTACATTTTTCCTACTCTCAGTAACATTTTACTGGGTCCTGGACACTACCCGTCGTCGCACGCTGCACGTGACCCTCGTGGTCTGCACATTAGGGTTGGGTATTGGCTCTGAAGTTGTGCAGGGTTTCGTTCCAAATGGTCGAGACTTCGATATCTTCGATATTGTCGCCAATGTTGTCGGTAGTGTAGGCGCTGTTGGACTTTGCAACTGGTACCACCGACGCATGATGGAACGCCGCCGACAAAGTCGGTATGGCATGGTGGAGGAGGGCACCGAGGACGTCGAACTCGGTGGTGTCGGGAATTCCCGTCGTGACTCAGAAACTATGGGCCCGCAGGAATCCGGTGTCATGAGCCTTGAGCAGGAAGTCGACAACTGGGATGAGAATGCAGTTGAGACTTGGGATACGGAAGAAGCGCCGAGTCCTGAACGAGAGGCTGCTCCTCCCAGTTATCATGAAACTGGCCCTGTCGGTGGCCAATCGGCTGCAATTCCTGCTGCAGCAAAACGTATTGATTAAGGTTAAGGTTACTTTTAACCGGAGCGAAGCGTGTACTTTGTGCTTTGGAAAAGAGAAGCCATGCGCCGCGTTCAGGTCTTGTTTTGCTATACTATCTGTTCTTATGATGATGGATTTCATGTCTTGGTCTCACGTCGGTATGATGAGTGTTCAGCAGTGATTTTGTTTTATTGATTTGTGTATATCATTATATTATTATACCTTGCTGGGGATGATTTTCTATGGTGAAGATTGCAAGAAATTTCTCGTTATTTTCAAGGGATTGTACAGTAGCGTGGGCTTAGTTACTGGGAATATGTGGGAGGTACTACATAGCCGTGAAAATGTCAATGACAAAATCCGATCCCCAAAAAGCCTACATGTATGATAGAGATGATTGCTCGGTAAAAGTAGAATGTCCCAGATAAGTCTACAAAGCATACAATATCACCAATTGGCTAATATACAGTGACTCTAGAGCTAGACTGACAGTGCTAGTCAATAAGCAAGATAACTACATCCAAGATAATAACCAAAGTAACAAAACGGGGGGTATTTCAACAGGAAAGCAAAAATATATAGCAGGGGATTGGAACAAAACATTTAAACACCGGATGCCATGAAGGGATGCAACATAAACATAAACTTTCCGTCCAAAGTTCATGATCACAGATGGGACGGGGAAAAAAAAAAGGTCAAAATGAAGATTGACCGGGCGTCATTCATTATCAAGATCAGAAAGCTCCGGTGTACCGGTCCGACTTCTCGTCGGCGTATGAGTGCGATCTGGGACAGCTTCCAACTCCGGTTTGAAAGTTGGCAGGTAATCTGACTGGTCATTTAACTTGGCGATTTTCGCAGATCGTTCCTCACTGCCGTTAGGCGAGTCCATATTCCAGTGCGTAACCTTGCCCAGCTTCCGATCGGTTTGTTCTCGGAGCACTTCGTAGATAAATTGCATCTGCATCTCGTTGTAGACCATCATCATCCGTTGCTCGCGCATCTGATTGACTGTTTCGAAAACAGGGTCGACCTCTGGATGTTCGATATCCAACAAATGTCCTGAGTCCAGTTCGCACAGCAAATGGTCAAGCGCAATGAAAGTTCCTGTCCGACCAACTCCTGCACTGCAGTGCACGATTCGCGGATTATCCGGGGTGGTTTTAGAGGCTGACAACTTGATCAAGTCGAGAAGGGCTTGGCGATCGCTGCCTTCAGGTTTAGAGTAATCGGCCCAGCCAGCGAAAAGGAAATGCCAGACAATCTTTGATTCCGAACCGATGGCCAGTTCGAGTTTGCGGATTTCAGATCGTGATCTCGCGTCGAAAGTTGATTCCAACAAGGTCACCCTACCCAAGACGCCGGGTTCTGTCTGCTCGCTCTCATCGAAGAGAACGTCCGACTCATTTGTCAATAGGTCCATTGAAGCCTGCTCCGTATCCAATGGGAAATATTGAGCGCACTTTTCCCGGCCCGCTTCAAAAGTTTGGGTAAGCATCACAATCACGCCGACCTCCTGGCTTTCATGGAAGACCATGTGCCAAAACTCCGCGAGATATCCAACTTTGGGGCCCTGGTTAATGGTAAGCAAAACATATGGTTTTAGAATGGAATGCGCAACCTACCTGGGTCGCGATATAATGCCTTCTTTCCCGTGTCACCGAGTCTTCCAGTCTGATCGGAGATGCATTGATAAAATCACACTCGCCCTCGGGCACCCGCAGATGGACCCGACAATTTGCGTACGCCTGGACGTTATCATAGCGATTCCTCTCTTTAACTTTGGGGTCTACCTCTAGGGCGAAGGGATGCGTGAGATCATTGGCCAGCTGACCCTCGGCGAGACGTGTGCGGTGCATCCATTCCAAATCCTCAAATTTGTCATGGATCTCTGCATTAAGGAAGCGGTCAGTCACATTCCACGTGCAGGGTTGTATTCCCCGATAGGCGTTTTATGCACCCCTCACTCACCCGAGACAGATTGACACAGGAACGGTGGAACATCTTCCGTGTTTCCAGCTTCCAGCTTCGGGTTGTCTTGATCCGCACCAAGTATATCGAGCCCCGCGTCGTCATTTTCGGGCAGTCCGCGCTTGGTTGCCTGGACACTGGTGTCGATCTTGATATTCGGATGCGCCATCTTGGCGGCCGCGATCCGCTGAAATGCTCGGACTTTACCGATGACACCACGCGCTTTCCTACCCACGGTTCTAGCTTTAGATCGTTTTCTGTGCGGGGCAGAGTCGAAGGAAGGAGAGGGCGAAGGAGATGGATCGGTCCTCGCGCTGTCAAAATCCGCAGGCACTGATGTTATCTGCAGTGATGACAGATCGGGACAGCTATAGAAGCTGTCCCGAGAAGACGTGTCCAGGGCCAGATTTTTTGAGGATCGCGGGGGTTGGGCGTCGAGGAAGTGGAGGAGAGCGTCGCAATAAAAGTAACCTTATAGGGTGTGCCAGGCCGTATACTCCCGAGTCCACCTGATTGATTTTTTTTTCGGATCAGAAAGCAAGTTTCAAAAGGACTACAAGAATAAGCCGAGGGTTTAAATGAAAAGAAGAAGACAAGTAGGAAAAAAAAAACAAGGCGAAACTGGAGACGGGCTAAAAGGAGAGAAAGTGGAGGGGCGCATAAAAGAACAAAACCTCCGAGATGTCCGAGTATATAACTATTTTCTATTGTATAGTAGTATAGTAGAGTGTTATATTAATATATATATAATATATACATATATATAAACTAAACTATTTATGTTTTCATATTCGATTCCCATGTCGCATTGGTAATTGGGCCCTTTGCCACTCAAATTCAGCTGCTTGCGGCATACCACATTCATACATATAGTATACAGATACAGTATTTAGGGTCTATTAATATGTTATTTTAGTTTGTAACTGAATTCTGATAGAAACGGGGACCTTCTTATGATCAACTTTACCCCTTTATGACCTTGTATGACTCTACTATACTATAGTGACTAGTTATACTCTTTTTACTTCATTTACTTCTTTCGGCGGGGGAATGCCTGAGGAACCTCATACTCTCTCTCTCTCTCTCTCTCCCTCTCTCTCTCCCTCTCTCTCTCCCCCTCTTCCTCTTTGTCATTCTCTTTATCATTCTCTCTTTTATTATTTTATTATTTCCCTCTTTTACAATAATCTCCAATCTCCACCCTCGGTCTCGAATGACGCCCTCTTATCCTCACAGGTGTTGAACACCCCCGGTTCGCATATGTCAACAAATCCCCAGAAATGGTCTCCCAGGCTCAGATCGTTGATCGCACAACCGCTCAAAGCACCGCTTCCCTAGTATCGCGTCCCTCAAGTAGACGACACCGTTCCGGTCGCTCGCATCATGGTAGCTCTTCGCATCCCTCCTCGAACGATTTCCCCATCTTCACGTATACGGGTGACACCGAGGTCGTGATCCGCACCGGATCGCAAGAAAGGCGTTATCTCCTCCACAAATTGATATTATCACAATGCTCCGGTTACTTTGAGGCGAGCACCAATGAGGGCTGGTCGCGCCAAATGGCTTTGGGCCCGTCGAAGCCGGAGGGGACGCTGTCGCGACTGAGCGAGGACGATGATTTATCGAACGGGTCAACGTTGGCACCATCTGATAACGGTGGAATCTCGACGCGACCAGGGGAGAAGAGACGCTGGCGATATGAGCTTGACTGGGAGAATCGCGCAGAGGATGAAGAGGCGATCCTTGTCCAAAAGGTATACCTTGCGCCGGCGCGTCGCATAATCTCATCTTCGCCAACAATGCTAATGTCGCATGTTGAAACAGCAACCAACCTATGCCCCCATGTTCAGTGGCGACCAAGCTGAATTCCCTCCAACGATGACCAAACCGTCCAACGCCCATGCAGGCTTCGTTCGATCCATGGCGAACCTAGCAGGAATGCAGTCGGTAGCCCACCTACCGCAGACTAGGGAACACGCTGTCGCGGTCGATCCCTTAATACGTGACTATGACAATCTACTACGAATATTTTACAATCATGCCCCCATTCTCAACAGTATCAACATCGCCTCGGCATATACAGAGTGCAAATCCCTCCTTGCATTGGCGGATATGTACGATGCGCTTCCGGTGACAGGGCCCCGCGTGGACCACCACCTACTCGGCTTTGGATCTCGTCTATTCAAACAGATAGCCAAGTACCCACCTAGCTACTTGAAGCTGGGTTATCTTGCCCGCAGCCGGGTGATCTTTTCCGAAGCCTTAATCCACGTCGTCGGCCAGTGGCCCGCCGCCCTACCAAGTCTGCGAAACGCCTCCTATGCGCCTCTACCAGACTCACTACTAGATGTCATCGAAGACAAAGTAGAAGATCTCGACGAGCTTAAAGCGCGCGTTGAATCCAAGCTCCTGCGCCTATCCTTAACCACCTCACGCGGCGAACGTGTCGGCCCCTCAAATGCATACCTGGACTGGCTCGCCGTATGTCTCTTCCGCCAATGGCTGATAGAAAGCACCACGCCACCGCCTGCTCCTATTCTTAAAAACTCGGGTCCAAGCGATGGCCCCGTCCAGCCTACCGCATCGGCGTCACACCCAGCAAGCACGCCGCGATCAACCACTTCCCCAGACCCGTCCGCCCGTATCTATAAATTGATCGGCTCATCTTCCCCACAGGCATACTTGCCCCACGATGAGCTCAAGCGCTTCCTCAAACTCCATCCTACATCCTCCTCTGGCTCGCTTTACACACGCGAGACTTTGAAACGCTTCGAGCGCAAGATGGACGAGATGAAACGGCTGGCACGGGATATCGTCAAGCCGCTGATGCGTAATTTCCTCGAGTTAGAGTTGAAGAGCCCGGACCAAACAGCCACTAGCACCGTTGGTCCTCGTGAGAATACTCCGGTGGGGTTGCCATATCTGACATGCACCCGTGTTGAAGATATAGATTTACCTTGGAAATGAGCAATTTCTTGGGGTTCTATCTATTTGGCTTACATTTTGTCCTGGCTACTATCTTTTTGGATATCTCCGCCCTACTTGGAGTTTTTGACGGCGTTTGGTTATTTGCTTTTTATCTGCCCTCCTTCTCAGGCTGCTGGTCTTGTCTGACAAAACAGACCAGATTGTACTCCTGTCTCCGTGATTTGCAATGATGTGATGTTTATGCTTACTTGCTTTATGTTGTTTTGCTTCTGATTTATGTGTTCACGATGTCATGAATGGCTCTGCCTCTGGTTTGCTCTGTTGCTTCTTTATTTAATATTCTGCTCTATCCTGCCCTTAATAAGGCAGCGATTGGGGGTCTTTTTAAACCCCTGTTTTTGTCTACTATGTTTTAGAGATACCAAAAGGTCGCAGGTAATGAATGCAATGCAAGATTCTTGAAGATAACCACGCATCCTTTTTATATTACAGTTAGCTCAAATGAAGCAGACTTTCAGTAGATGAAGTATATATATGTCCGTCATGTTCCTAAAAAGTACATAGTATACAGCGTCTCCACGAGGAGAGCGAGAATAATCCCTTAGCCCATCTAGCTCCGACCAATACTCTCCATCCCATCCATCCAAGGCCGCAAAACCTCCGGAATGACAACAACCCCCCCGCTCAGCATCCCAGCCATTCTCCAAAATCGCAGCCAGCACACGCGGAACCGCCATAGCAGTCCCATTAACAGTATGCGGGAACCGTGACTCCTTAGCGCCACCGCCACGCACCCGAGCCGCCAACCGCCGACTCTGGTAATCCGTACAGATAGAAGCGGAAGTAACCTCACCCCAAGCCGACTCCAGATAATGAATCTCAGGATCAACAGGCGTAGCAGCACCACCCGACGCCGCACGCAGACGAGACGGGAAGAGCGCCTCGATATCTCGCTTGCGCGTCGCGCTAGCCCCCAGATCCCCACTCGGCATCTCCAGCACACGACAGGGCAAATTCAGCGCCGTCAGAATCTCCATCTGCATATCCAGCAGCTCGTTGAACATATCGTCCGAGCTCGGCACGACCCCGTCCACACTATCCGCCCAGCCGAACAGCTCGACCTTGGTGAACTCGTGGACGCGGTACAGGCCCTTCGTATCGACGCCGCGGGAACCCGCCTCAGCGCGGTAGCAGCGGCTCGCGCCGACGAGCTTGACCGGTAGCTCGGAGGCGTTCATGTCGCGTCCCGCGTACATGGCTGCCAGAGGGATCTCGGCAGTACCGGTTAGCGAGCGTTGGGGTTTTGTGTTTTTGTCGCGTTCGTTCTGTTCAATGGACCAGATTTGTTGCTCGTTGTGTGCGTCGCGGGGCTGGAACCCGCATGCTTCGGCGATGTAGGAGTAGACGATTGAGGGCGGGGCGACGGTTTTCCAGCCTCGGCGGCGGGCTGTGCTCAGCGCGTACTGGACGAGTGCTTGTTCTAACATTGCGCCTTCGTTGATCAGGAAATACCAGCCCCATCCTGTTGTTGTGGCGGAGCTAGTGAAGTCGAGGAGTTTGAGCTCTGTGCCGATTGTAACGTGCGACCGGGCTTGGAGCTCGGTTGGAGATTGGCGAGTCCATGTGGGGGGTTCTTGAGCGTTGAAGTTGAGGTATTGGACGAGAGTTGGGTCGTGTCCGATGGGTGTGAATGGGGAGGAGAGGTTTGGGAGGGAGAGTGCTAGTCGGTTGATCTCTTCGGTGCAGGTTGCTTTGCGCTCTGTCATGGACTGCGAATCGTCCTTTAGGCGTTGAGCTTCTGACTTGAGTTCGGCTAGTTCTTCGCTTGGACTCAGATCCTTCTCATTGGTGTTTCCATCTGTGCCTTGTCGAGTCGCAATGTGTAGCTTGGCAATGGTCTTCTCTAGTTGCTTGATGCGGGATCGGGGCGTTTTCAGGTCGTGATCGAGTTGTCTGGCTTCCTCTGATAATTGTTGAATTTTGGACGGATGCCCGGCGTGAGCTCCATAGTTGCGATCTATGCAGTTCTGTGCGTAGAGGTCGGCATTTTGGCGGATGTGTTTGACGTCCGGCGTGGGCTTCGGAGCTGTCGCGGGTCGTAATAAGTCTCGATAGGGTCGGGTGGTGGAGAAATTGCGCAGAGATGATTTTAGTCTATAGGAATTCCTGCAATTGAAGCAGATATATGAAGTGAGCGCCATTGGATTTTGGGGAAGAAAAGAAGTGAACAGGCAGTGAGTGGTGGTGGATATGTAGTGGATCCTCCCGCCTTAACCCTTTTGGGGGATCTGCACGCCCAATACTTTGTACTTCAACGTAACTAACACACCAGCAGTATTGTCAAGGATATTTAATTCGAAGTCAATAATTCAATACTTTGATATATATTGATATATCTCTTTTCGGGGCATATTCACGAGAATGCAGGACAGAAGCACCGAAGCGTCATATATACCCTTCTCAACGAAGAGCCAAAGGACTATAAATCAGCCCAGATGAGGGGCTCTTCTTAGCCTTCAAAACCGAGTAGTTCAGCGTTCCACTGCCAGGGTGGAGTACATATTGGCAGTTGCATGGACCGTCTTTCCTCAACACCCAGCAACAAACGGTTTGAGCCGTTCGTAAGATAGGCTTTGAGGTGAACTAATGCCGCAGAGACTCGGTAGACGTTTAAGTATGCCGGCAGGGAAGGACACTTCGCGGTTAGTACTAGAAGGCTGTAGCGAGAGGTGCATATGTTGACCATTTCCCTGGAAATCTGAAGCCAAGGGTTCAGAATCTTCAGATACTCGACTTTTTCCCTCTCTGACCCTTTCTTTCTCATCCCCATCATCGTCTACGAATTGGCTTTTTATAAGATATTTCGGGCATTATTATATATATTCTCTTATTAAAAATAATAATGCACATAATAGAGAAGCTGAGGGAAGATAGGTGAAATGAAGGAGTTGAGAGGTTGGAGTGGAGAAACATGAGTCGAGAACATTTGACTGATTTCACATATCCAGTCCGTTTGCTTGACACTAAAATATCGAGCGTTAGAAAATGGGAATTGGAAAGTGAAGTTTTAATTACCATTTGCCAGTACATCCCCTTGTTGCGGAGTAATTCCTGGTGTGACCCCCTTTCGACGATCTTAGACCCATTTCCATTCTGACTCTCACCAAAGACGAAAATGATATCTGCTTTCTGGATAGTTGCCAGTCTGTGCGCAACCGCGACAATCGTCATACTCCTCCGTGCCGCTAGACGTTCAAGGGCACCCTGGACAACCTTTTCAGACTGCGAGTCGAGACTGGATGTTGCCTCGTCTAGAAGCAACAAGGTAGGTTTTCGTAACAATGCACGTGCTATGCAAAGTCTCTGGCGCTGTCCACCACTCAATGCTGTCTGTGCTTTTATTCCTAGATCTGTGGAGTATCCCTCAGGCAGGGATGTAATGAAGTTATGGATCTCGGCATCAGTACATGCCTGAACCAACTCTTCGTCGGTGTATTCTGATGGGTCGAGTCCAAGCGTAATGTTGTCTCGAATTGTGCCCTCGAAAAGCCTTGGGTCTTGTGCTACCAGCGACAAGGATCGACGGTATGAGGTTGTATCCATCGATGTGATATTTTCGCTGTTGAGGAAAATATTCCCTTTGTAAGGATCGTAAAATCGCTCAAGCATCGAGATAACGGTCGTTTTCCCGCAGCCCGAGGCGCCGACGAATGCAACAAACTGGCCACTTTCAATGGTGACATCGAGGCCGGTGAACAATGGGTCCTCCTGTGAAGCATACTTGAAGGCAACTTTTTGAAATTCGATATGAGCCCCAGTTCGAATAGCTGTATCGATCTTGAGCTTTTCAGAGTCCTTTTCTGAATGGCTCAAATCTGGGCGGAAGTCGAGAATTCTGTTCGCTGCAGCAGTGCCCTGGGCGATATTAGGTCCATAGCTAAAGAATTGGCCCGCTTGTTGTCCGCCGAGAATGATAGACATGTACACAACAAAGAAGGAAACCGGCTCATACTCTCTAGACGCTAGCAGCTGACCACCGTACCAGAAGGTAAGCGCCATGGCACAAAGCTCCACGCTATCAGAGAAGGCAAACACGAGAGTAGCGATCCATGCTTTGCGAAAAGCTTTCTTTTGCTGCTCTTGCAGAAGGTTCGAGTATCTTTTCAAAATGAAATCCTCCATTGTCAGTGCTGAGACAGTGCGAAATGCCTCGATAGCTTCTGCTGCGAACTGGGAGCTACCGGAGTAAACAGCAGCATTCATCGCATCAAACTCCAGTTCATAACGAATGCGCATAAATGCAGCAAGGAAAACGAAGGGAAGAGCAGCAAACGTAGCCACGAGAGATAATTTCCACCCAAAAGAGAAGGCAATCGCGATGCAGCCTATCATGCTGCAGAGTGAGATGACTGGGAAAACACCATTTACCCCGATCAAATCTTGGATCTGCTTGGGATCGGTTGCCAGGCGCGAAACGAGCGACCCGGAGGCATTGTCGTTCAGATCATAGAATGGAACGGACTTTTTCAGAATGCTTTCAAAATATTGCGTCCGGCAAGTGGAAGACATTTCCTATAATACTGTTAGATCCATTACATATTTCGGGTATGATATCCACTAACAGTTGCGAGTCTGCTGGTCGCGAAGCCAACCGCTGAATAACAGGCGGCAATTCCGAGAGACAAGATAAAGAACCACAGCGACCAAAAATTGGCGGCATCGGTCAGTTTCTGGCCTCTAAAGCTGAACACATCGATAAGCTTTGCAAAAAGCCAACTCTGTAAAGGGTATGCGGCTGATTTATTGTTAGCCAGAATCAAAAGCGTTTGGGCCAGAATTCTTACAGGCAGCACCCAAAACACCGAGTAGTGATAGGAGGAAGAATGGCCAATGAGTACGGGCCTCATACATCAAAAGTCCCATGCTGGTAAAGAAGCCACGCTTTTTAGTTTTCTTGGTCTCATCTTGCGAGTCTTCGGCAGTAGCAGTCGCATAGTGTTCAAGGTCCTCTTTCAAAGCTTCTATGGTCTCCACTGTATCATTTTCATCATCTTCAGCGAGTTCAAGTCTCTGTGCATTTACCAGACCCCGATAAAGGCCGTCCTCCACAGCAAGAAGATCATCGTGAGTCCCTTCTTCAACGTTCAGACCGCCACGAAGAACAATGATTCGATCAGCTCGCCGAACGGTGGATAATCGGTGAGCAATCACAAGTGTAGTTCGGTTCCTAGAGACCCGATCGAGGGCTGCTTGAACTATCTTCTCTCCCCGAACATCAATCGCACTAGTGGCCTCGTCCAGAATGAGAATAGTAGGCTCTCTGACGATACTTCGCGCTATAGCCAGGCGCTGTTTCTGACCTCCGCTTAATTTCGTGCCGTTCTCACCAACAAGCGTCTCGTACCCCTAGAGATTTTAAGCAACGAGAATGGAAAGTGAACAGCTTATGTTGTACATACCTTAGGCAGCCGATCGATGAACTCATCAGCAAATGCTTCTTTGCACGCATTCTCCACTAATCCGGCTTTCACTGAGTCAGGCTCATCTTCCCATTTGGTACCGACTAATCCGAAAGAGACGTTCTTGAAAATCGTATCATTAAATAAGAACGGCTCTTGTTGCACAAGCCCAATGTTAGATCTCCACCACTTGAGATCCAGCTGCTCAATATTGCGCTGGCCCACTGAAATGCTTCCTTGTTCTGGAGAATACCATCTCTCTGTGAGTGCGACAATAGTACTTTTACCTGATCCTGATGGGCCAACTATTGCGGTTGTCTTGCCTCTCTCAAAACGAGCGTTGAGACCCATGAGAACTTGGGTATCCGGTCTAGAAGGGTATGAAAATTGCACATCCTGGAAGATTATATCTCCTGAGCCGAGGGCAGCTGCATCGCGGTCTCCACCAGAAGCAATTCTTTCCGAATCGATTATCTCAAAAAAGGAAGCCGCTGCACTGGCCGCTTTGGAGACCATTATTAATGGAGATGCGATACTTCCTAGTACGCTCACTGCAATCATGACCGAAAAGAATACACTGGAACACACTTGTGAGTAGCGACAAAGTAGCGCTGGAGGGAGAAAACATACGTTATGACTGTGTTGATGTTCGGTATGTGACCCTGTTGAAACAGTCTCAACCCCAGCCAGAACGCCAACGCGTAGCTGGCGTACATGGCAAAGAAGAGAAGACCAAATTGAAGCCCCATAATGACCGACAAGCTCATTCCTCTTTTCCGAGACTCTTCGACCCATTGACGATATCTTGTGGCTAACGGTGCCTCGGCGCCCAGTGAGATGACTGTTCGAATGGAACCAAAAACTTCTGCCGCGATTGCCGAGTGTTTTTCATCTGCTTTATCCACGTTTTGCTGGATCTTGGAAATCGCGGGCAACGTCAGACAGCATACTATCAGAATGAAGAGTATAGCGGAGCTAGTCGCAAGGGTCAGGGCCCACGAATACTTGAAGGCTATGATGTATGCGGCAATCAAAAGGGCGAGGGATTGGAATAAAATGGCCAGTTTGTCGGAGATGCTTTGCTGAATGGAGTTGGAGGAAGTCGTGATAGCATTGACAACTGTGCCGACTGATATTTGGTCCAGTTTGCTTAAAGGCTGGGCGAAGAGCGAGCCCATATATTCAAGTCGTAAAGCCGCTGAAACTCGAAGGCTGGTAACACGAAAGCAGTACTGTGGTAGGATTTTGAGCGGGTTAGCTTTGGGGGAAGTACCGCAGTTTCATTGGGGTATTCCGGCATACCATTGAAAAGTATGTCAAGACGAACTTCGCGATGAAGAGGTAGACGATATAGAGACTTTCACAATTAGCTCCATGATACAATGATGACAACCGTGACCCTGCGCTTACCTCAGTCGATTAACGGAAGCTTTGAATTCGCTTTCGCTCGTTGTTGAATCGGGAAGAAAATAATCGCTGAAGCTACCGACCAGCTCACCAAAAACGATATTCATGATAGGCAATGGCTGGCGACCGATTAGTAACCTTTTCTTGATGCTTTGCAATTGAAGTCCCGAAACACAATCAACTTACGACACCGGAGGCCATGGAGCATATGAGAGCGACTATCAAAACCATGCGATCTTTGGTGGTCAGGTAGGAAAGAATCCTCTGGGTGTTATTAGCGGTATATTGCGACGAAATATTGACTCAGTAACTTGAACACATACAAAATAACCACCAAGGGACGCAGATTGCTCTTTCACATCTTTGGTATCATCTCGCTTGGGTTCCTCGTCGACTTCGACAACATTGGGCTGTCGGTCATCTGTCAAATGCGGAGAACGTGACTCTCCAGTCATAGACCTTGCCTCGGTCACAGCTCCTTGGGGAGAATCTGAAGAGAGACCCATCCTTTGGAGAGCAGTCTTGATCGTAGCAGAGGGCAGTTCTCATCCTAGGAAGAGGATTCCTTCGAAGTTTATATTCGATAGCCACGCGGCTCTCTCGATGTACATTACCTATAACTAGTAATATCGTAGATCATTTGGCAGAATACGAAAATTTCCAGACTAGGCTACTGTGTTTGAAATCTCTGCCTTCTGATACGCCAAGAAACATCAGGTCGTCATCAGCGTGGATCTTAATGGATCAAAGAGATATCTACTTTGAACCCTTTCAGGAGTCATCGAGCGACGTGATTCCTAAATAGGTTTAGGTCGTGATCTAATCTGGACTAGCGTGCGGGACTTCGGGGTTACTGGGAGCCCGGGCCCACTTAACACGAGGAAGAGCCATGCGACCAATCAGAGTCGGAGCCCCAGATTCAAGTCCCGACGGACTTTCGGCCTTTTCTCTTTTCCCGCAACATCCATATTGAGCCAACAGTAGTTAGCCAGTTCGACCACGAACAATAATGAGTACTGGGCGTTCATTAGCGACTATTTCAGTGAGAAAAGATTATTTACACACGTGACTCGATCGAAATCTGACTTGAGGCTATTCTAGTGTGTTCGTTGTCAGTCTAAGAAGGTATAGTGTCCTTGGCAGTAATGACATCTTGAATGTTCAGCCACATTAACAATCTTCTAGATTCGCTGCAATCGAGTTACGCCAAGATGTGACAGATGTGAAGCCACAGGAGCTGAGTGTGCTTACCTGCCACGAAGACCACGAACTAAGAAACAAAGGTACATTTGCCCAGTTATTAAGCATTAATACATTTATCTCTCCAGGTTTTCATTAACGAGACTACCACAGGACCAAATTTTCTGAGAAGGGTGTTCTTCTAGAAGTTCTCGAGCGCCTAAGATGCCTAGAAGAGCATTGTGGCCTGGATACTTTCGCGGGAAATCAAGATAATGAGCTTGATTCCATGTCTATATCTTCTGTCGAATCAGAGAACGCACAAAATGCAACCCTGCCTGAAGCTCCGACCACAATAGTCCCACCCGGGATCCGTGATATCATCGGTCGTATCAAAGATGAAGGCAGTCAATCTATGCTTCTCTCTAGTGTCTTCTGTCACCTGCAACAGATTCAATGGTGCTTTCTCGAAAATGAACAATGCTTTCATGCCATTACTTCCGCCATGCCGGAAATCAAGTTCATGCAAGATACACAGCCTACGGAGGCATCAGAAGAGCCATCCATTCCTAAAGACTTGGCACAACAGCTCATAGACTGTAAGCACATCTGACCCGTGCTTGGTTATTCATTCGCTAACGTCCAATCCAGATTACTACAGCTTCTGCCATTTCGAAGGCTTCAAGATGCCTCTCGAAAAATCATTTCTAACTTCAATTCCTGATCTGCTCGAGATATCCCATGTTCGACTAGATTGTACCTCCCAAATCATCTATTACACCATTCTTTTTCAATGCATCGTCACAAAACCGGAGGCACTCCCAAGAAGAGGCAACTTGATCCATGTTCTATACCAGAAATGCGCTTCTCTCGGCGAAGACTGGCTGAAAAATATCAAAGATACCCCAGCCGACTTCTTCGCAGCATTGACGCTGGTAAGAAAACTAGATACTTTTCAATATCACATTAGTGAACTAACAATTTCAACAGGTGTCATTGTTCCTCGAATTTTGCAATGTCGATTTATCCTGGAAAGCTCTCGCCCAAGCGTGCAGGATATCCAAAGCTCTAGGATTTTTCTCCGTGGATGAGACACCTTCCGAGGGAGATAACGAACATTCCACAGAGCCGGAATCTCTCCCACACCAGGCAGAAGTAGAGCGGAATCGAAAACGGTTCCAATTCTGGCACATTTTGCGAACGGATTGTCTTTTTCGCATGTGTTACGGAAAACCAACCCTCATCCCGGCAGGGTCGTGGAAAGTCAATTTCCCCGACCCAACTATCAACGGCGTCAACGATGAATCATCCCGCTTCATGCAGATCCATTTCATCGCGTCTATGCGACTGACGCTCATTGTGATGAAATATCTTGACTGGGTTGACGGAGGGAAAGATCCTGATCCCGTCTCTCATGATGCGACGATTGACAGTTTTATCGACGAAGTTCAGCTAATATTATCGGATTGGGATGCGGTACGTCTCACACTAACTTGAAGCAAAAATTTCATGGGATATTTCGTTGCTAATCCATCACTTTAAAGGAGGGCCTTCTTCAAATGGCTACAAACCACGTCGATGTATGGTTCTGCGTCGACGTACTATTCAGCACATACAAGATGCTTATCGTCCTCTATCAATCGAAAAAGTGCAACCAGGGTCATATCCTACCATCTCAAGCCGTGGAGATATCCAGAAAATCTGTGAAAATCTTCCAATCTCTCCTTGCATCCTCGGCGCATGCGTTTTGGGGCATCAGGTATGTCAAACATGCAACTTACCTTTCCTCGTCTGTGCAATTGATTAACTGTTCAAACAGTCTCTTCTTGTTCCACCAGTTTGTCCCCTTTTTTATCCTTTGTTTGGATATCATTGGAAACCCTGACCACGCCAATCTGGAGGAGGATCTCGTCTCCATATGCTGGATTAGCGATTATGCCGAGATGGTCATTGAGGAACGAGTCGAGCTCAAGCCGATTTTGGTCATCATTAAATCTATGAGCACGGCTTGCCAGCAAACGAAAACAATGAGACTAGCGCGAGCGGCTTAAAACGGCGTCAAAAGAGGTAAATAAAATTTAAAAAATATACCCTTCATATCCCTAACGAATCGATATTAGGTAGTTTCTAAAATATAGCCCTTGTATGAAATGGATACCTAGTCATCGAATCAAAATCTCCCACGGGCCGTTCTCTTCGAGAATCTTGACAGCTCCAGGGACTATCCACTTTTCTCAAGTATAGGCGATCCACTCTATATTGCACTTTTATTGTTATTATTAACATTGTACTAGGCTACATGCATTTGATACAGAAATATTAGTCCGATGCATGGTTACGAGATTCATGAAGTGTCTTTTTTCCATATCAGAGGAGTTCCCCTTCCTGAACAAACGGGGAATTCCGTCGGATGTCGGAAGACCCTCCTATCTTCACGACAAAATCGTGTTATAATCGATTGCAGAGCAAATGTCTTATAGATGACGCTGAAGTATCGACTCCCGGAGGGCAGGGTGGGTCAGTCACTCCGTCCTGGTCATCAGCTCAATGTTCACATGGCTAAGTTCACATATTTGGTTCATAAATGGTCTGTACTGTTGAATCCTCTCTCATTGTCCACCTGACAGCCCCAATTTGTGCTTCTTGATCCTCGCACCCACTCCGCCGAGAATAAAAACGACGGAAACAAGTACACCCCATAGAGGAATATGAATGGCTATCACGTTGTAGGTGGTCTGCGTCGCCGCCACGACAGTCGCCACCTCCAGCAGTAGCAAAACATAGCCGCTCCAGCGATGATACTTATAAATGCGCTTCCCAGCGTCGACACTGCCGAAAACGATGACCGGTAAAAAGTACTGAAGAACGCCGACCACAGCTTGTAGCACGATAGCGATGTAAGTGATCAGACCTAGAATGCCGTGGGGAGAGACAAAATGCGGATGAGAACCCTTTTTAACCTCGATAATAACAAAGGCAGATATAAACAGGGCCACGCTGATTAATTGTAAGATGTAGTGGATGCGAGTACCGGTACGCTTCTGTTGCGGGGTGGCGGTTGGTTGTAAGATGAGAGCCGCTTGAACTTGAAGCAGAAGGGCAGAAATTCCGAGTAGCTGAATATCCAGTTAGTTAGAGTTGGAGATATTTTGTTTGGCTTTTTATCTCCTTACTGGATGTGGGGTGAATAGCGAGAGGGGAACGGATAAGACGCCTTGCCAGACCAAGGCCGCTAGCTGTTGTATTTTATTAGTTTCCTGACCTTCTGAATTGTTTCGAATGGTCTTACAATCCAAATCCCTGCTTGCGCGACACTCGCTGTTCCTGAGTCTGGAATTAATTATGAGGTTTTGACCAGAAGCTTTCCCGCTCACCTGTGAAGAGATTCCGATAAATGTTCTCATCGGGCTGTTGTGTGACATCGCCTGGACGGCCCAATAGAGGCTCATCTTCCCGCGATATGATTGTTGCGGGGTGATCTTGAGGAATTCCTGTTGCCGAGGCCATGATGAGTGATGTGTATATGGAAAAAAAAAAAAAAAAGTGAAGGGAAACAGAATTAGACAAAGAAACAAGTTGAGGGCGGTGGCCAATATCCCTTGCGTTTTCTTTGTTTTTTCTTTGTTTTTCTTTTTTGAGACCTAAATGCACACAGTATGTATAACATATGTGTACAACATAATAACTATGGGGAATATGTGTTTCTGTGCGAATCAGAAAGGACTTGATTACTGAAATTCTTTCGTGATCGTCGCTATTAATGACGTTTTGCATAACACCCGCTTATTGCCGAGAGCTGAAAAGAGACCATTCAGTGGCGTTCTATTGCAAAGCTGAATTGGCCAAAAAAAAAGCAATTATTGGGATGTGGGCTATGTTTTATGTTGTTGTATGTTACTCCAAAATTAATATTGAGTCTCACAAGTACGTGGCCATCTTATTATGCTAATACTTTGGAATACTACGATTACCGGGGATATTTTGCAACTGAATAACTTCATGATCTAAAACATCTAAAACACCAAACTCTAAAGGACTAAAGGACTAAACCATTAAAGATCACAATCAAGGTCTAGGCTCAGGCGAAGGGGCACCACTCCGGTCCCCCGATCAGGCGAAATCCTGTACTCAATATCGGCAGGGACACAAAAGTCCAAAAAGAGCAGCATGCTCTCGATATCAGTGGCGACTTGGTGAATGCTGGTCGGATCCACGGAAAGAGTATCTCTGAAAGTTTGCACCCGCTCATAGAGCTTGTTGCACTTGGCATTCCAATTAGGGTTATCGTAGTTATAACAAGCCTGTCCGGCCATTCTCAGGCCATCAACTCGCAGAAGCAGAAGAGACAGAGAATTAATAATCATCCTTCGGGTCCCCTCGTGGTTGTCTCTGAGAATGTCAATCTGAGCGTGCAAGGTGGTCAGGAAGTAGCGACGCTCCTCTACGTACGTACCGTGGGAAAGGCGTTCATGCATGGTGTTGGTGGGAAGTAAGAAATAGAGTGAATTTTGAGGCTTACTTGTGGTAGTGGCTTCTGAGCTGATTGCTTGGAGACTGAGGAACTGGTGGATGATGAGACATGTAAAGGGTGGTGCCATCCGGCCTCCTTTATATCTTTTTTTTTTTTTTTTTTTTGCAACTATCTGATCGAGTATTTGGTCAAAGAGAAACAAAGCAACAATGATCTTTATCGGATTCTTTATATCCTAAACATAGCACCTATATTCGAGGGGAAGGATCCACATTTAACAAAGCGATTTTAGCACAAAGGTGTATCATCTTCTTTGTGGTAAAAGAAACATCGTGGTATTCACCAGGGCATTGTCAACACAGGCCCTTCCTCTCCAGACCCAACCCTCCCAAAGACCACCTCCGCTCCCAGATTCTTTGGGTCCAAGTTCATAACAATGTTGAACAAAGAACTACTTCTATTCGAGATATGACGGGATGGATCCTCCTCGCAACATATTGCCTGAGGCTTGTTATACGTATCGGAGAAGATCTGTTCTCGCAACAAAGCGGGTGTAATAGCGTCGCCCTGAACACCACCCTGAATTAACTCCTGCGTCAACTGCGCTAGTCGCTGAAGCCGGATAGGCGACCCGGACAGCCAAGGCGGCTCATTCACATAGTGATTCTCAAGAAAGTGGTTGGTATGTCCTATAATCCCCGATGCATCCTCGGGGATATGCTTGTCTCCCACGGGCGATAGCTCAAGCCCTAGTGCTTTGGTACTGTCTGCACAAAGGATATGCTGAGCAGATGCAACACCACCCAAAGACTCGAGGGTATTTACCGCATTGTCGACAGAAGTACTCTCCAAACACAACCGAAGGGCAACATGAATCGGGACCTTGCTATTGATCATCGGTTTGGCGCGGATTGCGTTGAGACAAGTCCCGACGCCGTTGGTATTGAATCCAATCTTGCCGACGATTCCTGCCTAGACATAGTTAGTTACATGTCGGGATATCGATACACACAGATGTGTACTCGCCTCGGTAACCATATAGATAGTAGGTTTTCCAACCTGCTCAATCGATACCATTGCTAGGTTCTTCTTGACGGTATTCGTCCAGTCCCAGTTCTGTGAGAGCACTCGCGTCGTCTCGCTTTTCTTCCAGCTTAGTGTTGTGCAGCCATCGGAGAATCGTCCGAGTGCTATCTCGCTCCGGCAGTTGAGCGCTATTATGTCGAGTACATCTAGCCCGGCGCCCTCGGCGATACCTTCCATCTCCGTGAATAAATGGGGTGTTAGGTTCTGTAGCGTGCGCTGGAATTCGGTTGCAACTTCGCGCACATCTTTCCAAGCTAGTTTGGAGGTGTTCTGGAACATAAAGTCGTAGATAGATATCTGGCTACGGATTTGTTCCCGCAACGCGCGACCATGTTGTAGTCCGATCTAATTGTAATTCATATGAATTAGCTGGAGAGTTCTTGGTCATATGTAGATGTTCATATTGGAGAATGTACTTCTCGGGCAGTGCCCTGGAGCTTCAGCTTTATTGGCTCATTTTCAGACATTTTGAATATGTATACTAACCGTACAGATGATCAAAGCCAAGGTTATCTTCAACTATTTATTGTCTTGAGACATCAACAGCCGAGCTGGGTTCCCCTCAGTTGGAGTCATTCGGGGTCTAGCCGATAAGCATCGCCATGACCTGCCCTAACTGGCTATAAACTATCATATGAGATTGCAATAAATTGAATGCTTCATATTATGATGCTTCACAGGGGGCCAATGATGACATACTAGTCTCCAATACACCCCAAGGTAAGGACTTGGCTCGCACATCTACGGCCTATGTGACACAATATATATCGCGATAATACCTTTGTGAAAGTGTTTCATATTGGCTATTTGTCTTCCAATATATGAATCATCTATGCGTCTTTAATTAGATGTTTGAACAACTTGTCCAGGTAATAGGCAGACTGCTTGGGATAGCGAGTCTTTTCTTCGGACTCAAAGTCGATAAATGTGGAACCGAAGCGATCCGCATATCCAGCGGCCCATTCTAGAGAATATCAGTCAACTATTCATATAGTGGATGAAGGAAACTGCCACTTACCCCAGTTATCAGTGAACGTCCAAGCAAAGTAAGACCGGATATCAACCCCGTCTTCTTTCACAGCCCGCGCTAACGCATTGCCGACATAGCCCTCAAAGAACCTGATGCGGAACTCATCATTAAGAACCTCGGGTGTGGGAGCCGTTTCACCCTTGGCGGTGGTACCATTCTCAGTGACATAAATTGGCATCTGGTATCTTTTATAGATCCAATTTAACAACTTCCTGAATCCCCCGGGTGCAGCCCGCAGCCACGGGGTATCACTTTCCTCCCCTCGAGACACACCTTGCTTATTCTCATCGAAGATCTCAACATTCCCCTTGTGGTCATTGATATCAGGCGTAGATGTCGTATGCTTCACGAAGAAAGTCGTATAGCTATTCATGCCATAGAAATCCGAGCTCCCGAACACAAGCTTCGATTCCTCCTCAGTGAACCTGGGCAATCGATCACCGAGCTGCGCCCGCATCGACGCAGGATAATCACCCGTTTTGTACAACGGGTCCGCAAACCAAGCAATTTCGAACTCGCGCGCACGCTCCGCAGCCTCTAGGTCGCGTGGGTCCTCCTCATCCCACGGCTCGGACCAATTTCCATGCAGCGTGATACCGATAGTTCCCTTCTGCTGGTGCTGGAACTCCTCCCGATACAAGCGCACAACATGGCCATGCGAGACGAGTTCAGTATGCGCGACAGTAAACGGTTCAGTGGATGAATCGCCTTCGGCATTGCGCTCACGGAAAGAAGACCTACCTGGCGCGTGCACGCCCGCTGCATAACCGGCGAGGGTATAAACGCCTGGCTCATTGCATGTAATCCAGTGCTTGACGCGGTCACCGAAGCGCTCAAAGCAGACGCGGGCGTAGCGCACAAAGTCTGGCGTGTAGGCGTCCTGGTTCAGCATGCCTCCGTACCGATCTTCCAGGGCTTGGGGGATATCCCAGTGGAATAGGGTGAGGAAGGGGGTGATCCCATTGCGGAGAAGTTCATCGATGAGGTCGGAGTAGAATTTGATTCCTTGTTCGTTGACGGGGTCGTCGCGGCCACCGAGGGGGATGATACGAGACCAGGATAGAGAGAAGCGGTAGGCGTTTACACCATAAGACTTCATGAGTGCCACATCTTCGCGGTACAAGTCGTAAGCCCGGACGGCGTCGTCGGCGGTGCTTCCATCGGCGATTTTGCCCGGTGTGTGGCCGAATGTATCCCAGATTGATACGCCTTTGCCGTCCTTGTTCCAGGCGCCTTCTATTTGGGCTGCTGCTGTAGCGTAGCCGTGGAAGAAGTCAGGTCGGAGTACATTCTTGAGTTCTTGCACTGATTTCAAATCCATCTTGCTGTGTTGTTACTGTGTTGGGACTCTGGTGGGACTGTGACAAAGGTTGACAATTTATTTTCTGAGCTTGGAGCTCTCATCGAAGGTGCCCCTCAAAGACATTATCCGGATAAAGTACCATTGTTCTCTTCGTTTTACCCCGGAGCCTGGGATATGCGGGTGTTGCTCCGTGGTGGTTTTGGTAGTGCAGGGATATAGGCGACGAATCGAGCCCCAACGGCGGGGATGCCAGCACTTGGAGTACAGAAGCACCTCATATTAATTTTTTAAAAAAATAAGCATCTTGCTATTTCGAGTTGTAATCTATTTACTGATATATCTAGTTGATCCTATGTTCACCACCACCAGTAATCTCTACTTGTAACTCATTGAAGTAAACAACCACGGTCTCTCCACGCTCCGAAATTATAGTCACTTCACCTACAACACGGCCATTTTCGAAATTAAATTTCAGTTCAAACCCACCACGCGCCCGAACTCCCCGGATGGATCCAGTCCAGTCCATCGGACACGCTGGAAGGATGCGAATTATCCCAGACTCGTGGGACTGGACCAGCATTTCGATAATACCCGCACCACCACCAAAATTGCCATCGATTTGGAATGGAGGGTGACTATCTAGTAGATTGGACAAAGTAGACAGGGACAACAGCAAGTCTAGATGCCTGCTACATTCCTCGGCTTCGAGTAACCGTGCATGTAGGTTGACCAGCCACGCACGACTCCAGCCAGTATGGCCGCCACCATGTTCCGCCCGTCGACGTAGAACTACCCCGCACGCTTCTGCCAATTTCGGGGTTTGTGTTGGCGTGATTGAATTTCCGGGGTATAGAGCCCATAGATGGGACGTGTGACGATGTCCAGGTTCAACCTCAGCGTAGTCGGTGGCCCATTCCTGTAGATACCCAGCAGGGGATATCTGCATTGGTGGGAGGCGGGACTTTGTAGCTTGAACTGCTGGAAGAAGGGCATCATCGAGATTAAGTCTCTTTGCACAAGATTGGAAGGCGTCCAGAATAGCGTCTATGATTTGGATATCGATCGTCGCTCCTTCACACAACACGCCCTTTTCACCCTTGTGGTCGTAGAACGAGTTTTCTGGAGAAACGGACGGACTGGTGACAAGATATTCACCATTGGCATCTTCGACCAGGAAATCCAGGAGAAACTCCACACATCCACGCAGGGTGGGGAACATGCGACGCAGGAATCGTTCATCGCAGGTGTATTGGAAATGATCCCAAATGTGGTAACAGAGCCATGCACCACCCAGGGGCCAGATACTTGCCGGCATCCATCGATCAACGGGGGCTGTATCGGCCCAGATATCAGTGTTGGAATGGGCTGTCCATCCCCGACATCCGTACATGATCCGAGCTGTGGCTTTTCCGGGCTCAACCATTCGCTCCAGTAAATCAAACAGAGGAATTTCACATTCTGACAGGCTACACACGTTTGCAGACCAGTAGTTCATTTGAAGATTGACATTGGTAGTAAACCTGGAGCCCCATGCCGGATGGAAGGATGGGTTCCAGATACCCTGGAGGTTTGCAGGAAGTGATTTGTGCCCATCCCGACTACATGATATCAGGAGATAGCGATTATAATCGTGGTAGAGTGCGATGAGCCCTGGATCACGAGAAGACTTCAGACGTTGGTCGGTTGGGATGTCAGGAGAGTCTGGTCCAAGTTGCAATTCAATTCGGTTGTACAAAGACTGGTAATCCGCAACATGACGGGCATAGAGGTCCTCCAAAGACTGGCCCAAGGCATCCTCTGAATCTTGATTGGTTCGCTGATCAATGTCTTCATGTCGAAATTTTGTTTGTGCCGCAATGACCAGCAGTGTATCACTAGAGTTCACCACCAGATTATTTCCAATCTTGGTAATTTTACTCTCAGTACTATCGCAACGAACTGACACAATGCAGCACGCTTGATTACTATTCTTTCCCCCAGGCGTAACATGCATAGTAATGGAGTTCCTGGTAGCACTGACATCATCAAGCCACTCATTTGTTTCAAATTCCAAGTCACTCATGCGGGTTAGACGAACGACAAACTCAGCCTTGCTTGAGGAACGCAATCTGATCGCAAGCACATCATCCGGGTAACTGGCCAAAACTTCACGTTCGAAGTGAACACCCTGGTACTCATAGCTGACATGCGCTGTAGCGCTTGCGAGATCCAGCGAGCGCCGATAGCTTGTAACCTGACTGGGATCATGTCCCAAGTCCAAGAATAAGTTTCCTAGCGGCTCATAGTTCCGCTGGCTGATCGGGTTTGCGAAAAACGCCAGTTTGGCGATCTTCTCGGCTTCGACATGGTTCTCCGCGCGTATAGCCTCTCTCAGGCGTGGTAGATACCCGAGCGCGTCTTGCGGGTTGCGATCTTGTGGCCCTCCATACCACACGGAATCTTCGTTGAGCTGTAGCATTTCCGTATCAGTACGTCCATACACCATGACACCTAAGCGCCCATTCCCGACTGGCAGGGCTGAATTCCAGTCCTCCGCAGGTTGCTGGTACCATAATTCGGACATGTTCAAATTATTCAAAGGATATGGTATGCTGGTCTGTGTTGAGTTGATGTATCAATATGGCCTAGCCCTGGAGACCAAGGCGGCAGTTCGGTCCGTCAGCCGTGAATTCTGGACAGAACAGGCTGAGAGACTTTGAATCGGACAGGTCAGAGAAGCTAAGAGCTATTATAGTAATCAGGAAACTGATCCGATTTGCCAAGAGCAAAGAATTTCGGGTAATCCTGCTGGTAAGAGCCAGCCCTAACTCTTTCCCCCGTTGTTCCCCCAGATTATTCCCCTCCTTGTGATCTGGCGTAGATCCGGCCACTCCAGACTAACACCAGGGAGAAATATTTAAGCGACATTCCATCCAACTAGAACACTAGTTTCTCCCCGCAGTTCCATTTTACTGGTGGGAAATCCCTAGACACATGGCAAGGAAAGGCAATTCAGGAATTGGCGTACAAAATGTACAGCGTGACCCCCAATCACTCACCAATCACTGTCCTTTCTGGCAGTTATATCATCCCACGAGCTAACCTGACTTCAAACTCATGTCTTCTCCGTGGCGGAATAGGTCGCTCGGCAACAGCCTGGATGCCGACCGTTAGTTTGTCATCCCCCTAGCTTCGTGGGATCGATTCACCGAAGCAGAAATACCCCGGTATATCCCCGCTTTTAGGTCGAACTTGACTGCAGCTCAAGAGCTCTCGATCCCATACTTTCGGGACGATCATCTCTATACTCTTTCGAGTTCATTCAATCGAATTTGCCAAAGCGCAACAATGACCTCGGATGCAGCCTATGCGGAGGCCAAGCTAGGCAAGAGCGTGGATCCGGAACATATTGAGGAGATTGCCCTGGCACGGGTGACGGAAGAGGACCTATGGAAGTTGTCCGAGGATTCTCTGAGTCTCCGGTCGTGGACAGGATTCCGCCTGGGTCTCGTCATGTTCGTCCATGGTTGTAACCAAGCTGGCTTCGGAATCGACTGGGGTGTCATCAGCGGTATCAATGCCTTGGATTCATGGCACAACTACTTCGGTTTCGGGAGCAGTGGTGGCACATATGGGTTGATTAATGCTCTGATGCAGATTGGCATCGTTTGTGGAGCACCCTTCATGGGTTTGGCGGACGTGATCGGTCGTCGTGGAATTAATTTCACCGGTAACGCCATTGTCATCTTCGCATCCCTCATGCAAGGCCTCGCCACGAACCTTCCGATGTTCATGGCCGGTCGATTCTTCATGGGATTTGGTACTTCACTCATGTCAAGCTCGCAGTACATTGGCGAGATTTCGCCTGTCCATCTTCGGGGTGTTATGGTCGGCTTTTTCGGCGCATGCTTCCAGGTTGGTAGTCTTGGTGTACTTGGTGCTATGATTGGACTTACCGAGTTGCCTGGCAACAACTCCTGGCGTGTTCCCCTCATTCTTGAGGCTTTGTTCCCTACTCTTGTCTGTCTGGGAATATACCTTTTGACTCCGGGGTCGCCCCGTTATTATGTCTTGAGGGGCAACCGCCAAAAGGCCAAGGAAGTCATCGCCAAGTACCACACTACTAGCACCGACATCAATGAGCCCATTGTCGATATTGTGGTGAGGCAAATTGAGGAATCCCTGGAGAATGACCAGACAGGCTACAGGGCCGCCTGGGACTATCGCGTCTTCTTCACCAAGACGGCCCGTTTCCGTCTCCTGGTTTTGTTTTTGTACTCTCTCTTCCAGCAATGGAATGGAGGTGGTATTATCACGTACTATGTGAGTCGTTAGATCAAAGGACAGCTAATTCAGTGGCTAATACCTTTTCAGATGGTTCCTTCATTACAACAACTCGGAATGAAGGGTGAGAAGCAGCTACTCGGTGTCAACATTGGCACCACCGCAGTCTATTTCGTCTTTACAGCCGTTGGCGCTCTTATAGTCGATAGGTTCCGCAGAAGGACCATGATCTTTGCGGGTCTTATCAGCATGATTATTTTCCAAACGGCTACGACGATCACGTCGTGGCAGTACAGTGTTCAAGGCACGGCGGCGGCGGCAGCGCTCACCATTCTCTGGATCTTCCTTTACCAGACCTTTTCAGCAACATTTGTTGCAACCATGCACAACCTGTATCCGATTGAAATTCTCTCTCTACCACTCCGTGCCAAGGGAATGGGTCTTTACGGTCTGATCCAGGGAGGTGCCGGGGCTGCACAGTCCTACGGAATTGGCGTCGGCATCGAAAAGGTGGGTTATAAGATTTGGGTCGTGTACATCGTGTACAACTCAATTCAGCTCGGCTTGTCGTGGTTATTCTTCCCAGAGACTAGCCGTTTGTCTCTAGAGGAGATTAACACGGTGTTTGAGACCCCAGGAGTCCACCCGGTGAAGATGTCTTTGGATATTGAGAAGGCCAAGAAAGCTAGAGCGGCCGCGAACCGAGATGAGGAGGGCAGTGCTAATCGATAAACATTCAGTAGCAGGTAAGCTGGTTTTATTAAAAGGGACCGGCTAACATAATTTGATATTATATTTCCCGTCTTTGTTTCAGCTCCCAGCTCTAGAGTTTGGAGCCGACCTAAACCTTAGAAACTGGTCATATCAATGCTTCGAAATGTAATGCCAACTCCCAATATTACACATAGATCAAGACAAATATGCACAAGTGGAACAGTTGAAACGCGTCGGACCCGATATAAGCCTGTGCCTACCCGTCGGAGGGGTGCTTGTTCTGTTACACAGTTTCCGCCCTCTGTCTTCTCAGACGTATATGAGACATCAGAAACACGAACTTTGAAATATTTTGTATTCCTATTCCTATCAACTTTCCAAAAGGATAGTGTTAGTTTCAACTCCAAGGTCGGATCTACAATTGGTTGATATCAGATGATCTTCCCGAGCCCTAAAGTGGCCCAGATCATCCTCAACCCCATTTCCCGTTGGGATACCTCATGGAATGTTTTTCTTTTCTCCGAGACTCATCGCCACCAGTCCAGAATTCAATCACGGCCCATAGGTCCCCTACATTTCGGCCTGCAGCGTTACACAAACAAATCAGGTACCGAATGGCACTCCGTTCCTTTTTTTAGATCCCCTTTTTTTCAAAAAAGAAAGTGAGAGGCTATTCTGGTTAATGGGATTGAGCCTTCAATTGGTATCATGTGGTATTTCAAGAAGAAGAAAAACAAAAGAAAAACTAACGGTCAACGGGTTTCCTGCAGTCTGTAGTGTCACAGATGATCCGGTGTGGGTGCTCTGCAGCCCTAATATGGTTGTCCTTGGGAGGATTGGATGGTGACGCAAAGCCAGAAGAGAGACAAAAAGAGACTACATAGCTGAAGCATATAGTTTAGCTGGTTCATGGGGTCTTGGTTTTACTTCTTTTTTTTATCCTTTGTACTGAGAACATATGTATGTCTTTGGGTGAAGTGAAAAGTCAACAGTGACAATTGCTAGTTACTTATAGTCTGGACCAGACACTGCATTGATTCCAGTGGCATTGAGTAGGGGATTTTCACTCATCTTGTCTGCCGCTATCTCTAGAATGCACAAAATAGACAATAGTCCATATTAAGATCTTCATGAAGAGTATAGAAAGAAGAAGACTGGTAAAGTGGAAATGACGGGCAGGCTACATCAACTCTATTTTTGTGTAATCCGGTTACTTGCCTCTAATTGACCCTCGTGGCAACGGTATAGAACCGCTAAGATTCTTTTCGATTGTCTCTCAGCTAAAGAGATCCAAATCAGATTGTTTGGTGCAAACAGTCAATCCATCCTATAGCAAATAAAAATATAATATAAGTAAATGTCCGCAGTACAACCACACAACATACAGATGTCTTCTAATCTATAGATCCTGATACACAGAGATGTGCGCACGGCCATACGGACCGAGACGGGACTGCATCTGCCGATTGATGCTCTCGACCCTTCCAGCAAAATTCCTCCAGTCATGCACGTCCGGTTGCGCGGTCTGGCGATTCAAGCATGGTGTTACCATGGATTTTGCACTAAAAGCGCCAGACAAGGCGGCAACTTAGATCGATTGGCTCGGCTTCTCATCACGAGACAGATGGCACTGTTGCCAAAAAGCAAACGGGTCATCGCCGCTTAACACGGGATGTGCAGGTCCCTACTTCGAGTACCGTTCTTTTTGTGAAGAAACTGTTAACTACTATGTTGGGTGAAATTCTCTTATGTGTACGTTGCATGTGTCTTTTGATCTCCTTCTCTTTCCGGGATGGTTTTATTGTGGCCATGCCTCCCCCTTTTCTGCTGCAGTGTTGAGGGGTGATACATCCGGTATGTCGGGTATTGGAGGGGCGATGTTTCCTTTGGACAATGACGGTGAATATGATCTTGTCATGAATATAATTGATCAAGATTTCTCTTACATTTTCCCCCCTATAGTTTCTTTTTTTTTTACTTCGTCATTAGTTTGGAAACCCTTTTGTTTCGCTACTATAATTTCTATGCTTGTTTCAGGAGTGTTCTAGGCGTGACATGCTCATGAATAACTTGCTTCATATTTGAACAGATATACATACTCCTGGTCCTTGAACATAATATCGTGCATATTCTTCACTCCTTCCAAACTCCCAACACATTTCATCGCCAAAACACGGCTATAAAACTAGTTCATTGCCTGCATCAACAACCATCTCTCTCTTTCTCTCTCTCTCTCTCTCTCTCTCTCTCTCTCTCTCTTTCGTGGTCCAGTTCGAGATGCCCCCGAAGAGTACACAAGACAACATGGTGCCCGAGGCAAAGGGAATCAAGTACGACGAATGCGAAATGGCCCTCTTCCGTGCCAAGCTGTCATATCATGCCACGATTGATGAACGAATGGCCTCACAGAACTCAAACCTGACTTCGATCGCGGAAGCCCAGGCTCGAATCCTCAAAGGATGGGAAATACAGATGCAGGGCACAAAGGATTTGGCTGGCAAGAACGAAGGTCGCTCTGAAAGTGATAAGAGAGCAATGGCACAATATGCGTGGAGGTATACAGCTCTGGAGAATGCCGCAACCAAGACCACTGGAAAGGGATAGCGATAAAAGTACTTCTTGTTTTTCTTCTTTTTTTTTTTCTTCTTGCTGTTTGCGCCCACCATATTGAATGATACGAAGGCATTGCTGGCGTTTGTTTAGAGAGGCTTTACAGCCTAGTTTGATGCGCTCATGCTGAAATACCATGTCGACCTTTTCACTCTCATATCTGCTCTCATAATCTGGGGATGACATTAGGGATCCTCATTTCTCATATTTTATATTCTATAGCAGTTGATGCCTCTCCCACTTGTGGGCTAGTTATGTGTGAGGGTAATACAATTGATTACCTCGCCCCTCCTAAATGTCTGACTCGAGGGAGAATTCGTCGAGTGTCACACAAGCAGGCTGGTCAACATTGCACAGTAACAAGTACACCTCGTGTATACTCATGCAAAGGACTCGGGTGTTTCATTTGTGAAAGACGTTCGGGATATATGGGAATCAGCAATAAGTTCACGTATAACTGTGTACGGACAATGTTAGATACCATGCTAAACTTGATTCCATTTCATTTTACCTCCCCCCTTCTGTCTGCTAAATAGATATACTGCATTATATGTATAACATACCATATAATAGGAATCAAGTCAAGCCGAGCGGCTGTTGTCACCTGTATCTGTGGGATAATGGCACGTCTTATTGGTCGAATTGTTCAATTCCGATGAACTCCGGGCTCTGTGCCGGTTGCGCAGGTAAACTACCACTGCCACAATAGGCGCAGTAGGCATAAATTGAACATTTTCAATTCCTCTGCTTTCTGTGGAGTCTGTGACTTTCATTTTTGGTCAATGAGAGACTGCCATTCGGATAACGGGGCTCATCGGAGGCCTCCGATATGGCTCGCCATGTAGTGGGTCAACAATCCAACTCCGAAATCAACTCCGAAGGGCCTCAAACCGGCATTGGATCTAGACTTAGCGGCTACAAGTGAAACCTTCAAGGTCTGATTGGCTCTAATGAGAAGAGGATAGAAGAGGAATGGGAATTATCGACGGGGAGTAATGGAAATGCTTCCCTTATCGATAATCCCCTCCTATTTAAGTATGTTGTATACACTCACGCCTACACTCTCTTCTACTTCTCTTTTAAACTCATATTAAACATATAATCCATACAAATCAATCCAAAATGCAAGTTGCAGCTACCGATATCGACCAGGTGTTTGCACACACTACCAACCTAGCCTCGTGCAGCCTAAACAGCAAGATCCTAGCCTGCTCAAACGACTACTTCGCTTCAGCCAATAACCTCCTAACCCCCACTCCCTCAATCTCACGCCCAGGCGTCTTCGTTCACACCGGTGCCTGGTACGATGGCTGGGAGACCCGTCGACACAACCCAGATCCCTACGACTGGGCCGTAATCAAGCTCGGCGTTGCCGCAGCCTCCATCCACGGCGTCGAGGTAGACACCGCACACTTCATCGGCAACTATGGCGAGAAGGCAGAGCTACAAGCTACACACGCGCCGGAAGGCAGTGGTATCACAGATGCCCAAATCGCAGACCCCAGCTTCGCCGGCTGGAAGACTCTTCTCCCCGCTTCGCCTTGCGGTCCTTCACAGCGCCACGGATGGAAGTTCGACGCCGAGGTCACCAAAACTCCATACACTCACTTCCGTCTCCTGATGTACCCCGACGGTGGCTTCGCCCGTCTCCGTCTTTACGGTCACGCTATCCCCCCTCCTGCCCCGGCCGTCCAGGCTGTCTCGGCACCCGTTGAAGAGCTCTCGTCTGCTCTCAATGGAGGTGTGGCTCTTGCTGCCTCGGACGAGCATTTCACTCCCTCCTCTAATATCCTGCTTCCTGGTCGTGGAAAGGATATGGGTGATGGATGGGAGACTGCTCGCTCGCGCGCTGCTGGCCATGTCGACTGGGCTATTGTTAAGCTGGGTCTTGTTGGCTCGGTCTCCAAGGTTGTTGTTGACACCAAGGACTTCCGTGGAAACTTCCCTCGTGCTGTCCGCGTGCATGGCTTGGTTGCTGGCGCTGGTGGTGACGGGTGTCCCCCCGCCAACAACGCCAACTGGGTTGAGATCGTCAAGGGTGACAAGCGCTGCCAGGCAGATACCGAGCATGTCTTTGGGCCTGATGACCTCACTGCTGGCGGTGAGGATACTCGGGTGTTCAGCCATGTCAAGCTGACCCTTGTTCCCGATGGTGGTGTCAAGCGATTCCGTATATTTGGTCGTCGCTCTTAGGCTTTTGTCTAATATCATGAGGAGAAATATGTATATAGCTGATATTCTAGACGTAGATAATGCATTATGTTCACATGTCCCATTCACAACATCTTTGCGAGGATATCGAGGATATCCAAGGAAGAAAGATGTATGTTTACTGATCATGATCATGAGCCGGAAACACCAAGGAGAAGAAAAAGAAATCAGATGCAGGCTTCTCATAGAACCTCCAAAAAGAAACACTAAAGAACTACCTAGGCAGTGAATGACGAGATGAAAAATAAATTAAAAAGCTAAATAGAGATAAACTCATCGACCCAAATGACGCCTAACTTCTATCTTTGCAGACTCGGGTATAAATTAAAAAAATGCATGGACTCATTTCCTTTCCAGTGACAATGGTTTCGGTTCATCTGAAGCCGAAGAGGAGTAACTGGTAGGTGTGCCGCCACCAACATCAATACTTGCTTTCGAACGCTTTTCTCGAATAGCAAGACGAGACTTGGGGTAGGATGGCGGCGCAGGGGCGAGATATCTGTCCAACAATTCGCTCAAAATGGGCGAGCGGACCGGTTTCGGGAGATAATTGTTCATGCCAGCCTCGAGGCATTTCTCGCGATCACCTTCGATGGCACTTGCAGTCATGGCGATAACGAGCACTTCGTTTACATTCGGGTCGGGATCTCGGCGCAGCTCGCGGGTCGCGTTGTATCCATCAAGAGTGGGCATCATCACGTCCATCAGGACCACGTGGAATGGGTTGCCTTCTTGGGAGCTTGCACGTAGAGCATCGACAGCTTGTTTGCCGTCACTGTATGCATTACATTGGAGGCCAAGGCCAGTAACGAATTTCACCGCGATCTTTTGATTGATTGGGTTGTCTTCGGCAATGCAGACTCGGATCTGATCACGAGGGATTTGGGTGAGGTCACGAGCTGAGGACCGACGGACTTCGTTTTTTGCATTGCTCAGATCTTGTGACCATGCAGTCTTGACCGCCGTCTTCTTGGGCGCTTTGCTGAAGACCAAGTGGAATGTCACGGTCGTTCCAACTCCAGATTTCGATTCAAGCCAGATGGCTCCACCTAGAACATCCTCGATGATAGCTTTGCAGATTGACAGACCAAGGCCACTGCCGCCATATGATCTTTCCGTGGATGCATCAGCCTGTGAGAATGGTCGGAAAAGGCGAGCCTTCTGTTCGTCTGGAATACCGATGCCGGTGTCGGTGACCGAACATTCAAGGCGAACCCGACCTTTGCCCTCACGCGCAACCCTCGCTTTGACCGTAACTGATCCAGCAGGAGTGAACTTGTAACTGTTGCTGAGGAGATTCATGAAAATCTGGTGGAGACGAACAGGATCGCCAAGGACAACGAGCTCTGGTGGTACCTTATCGAGGTTCTCGATGGTCTCTAGGCCTCTATCACGATGTGTGTATCGCAAAGCCCGGATGACTTCTGAGATGGTTTGTTTTAGATTGAGTGGGACCGTGGAGATCTTCATTTTTCCGGCCTCGAGCTTCGAGAAATCGAGAATGTCGTTAATGAGAGTTAGCAAGGTATCAGCACACACACGAATCGATTCAACGTATTCATCTTGCTCCTTGTCAAGGAAAGTTCCCTTGAGGAGTTCTGATAAACCAATCACGCCGTTCATCGGAGTACGCAGATCGTGAGAGATATTGGCAAGGAAAATTGATTTGGCCCTTGCTGCGTCTTCCTTTAGCTTCACATTGTGCTTGGCTTCGGCCTCCGCATTCTTTGCCTTCTGTTCGGCCTCGCGCGCCAAGGCCAATGCACGCTTTTGGGACTCAATCATGGAAGCATTCTTGGCGCTGACCTTGCGAATTTCACGGAAGAGCAACGCGTTGGACAACGAAATACCAATCTGGTTGCAAAGCAGATGCAGGACCACAACATTGCGCTGTGTGAACCAATTTGGTTTTCCTTCCAGATGGATGACGCCGAGAAGGCGATCTCCTTGTACGACTGGCAATGCGATAACAGACCGACCCGTGGGGTAATTGGCCAGGTACGTCTCGCTCACGTTGGAAAACCGTTCATCTTCGAGAACGTTGTGAACAAGAACTTCCTCCTTTGTGCGCATGACATAGTCCGAGATATGCAAGGCCATTCGGTCCTCCATTTCCGAGAAAGGGAGACCTTCCGGGAAAGATTTCTGGCCCTTTTCCGAATCACCTGCAGCAGCAATTGCAAACCCGTTGTTGTCATCAAAGTCTGTAGCAATGATGGCGAAATCGGAACCGTTGCAAGACTCCAAGATGATCTCAAGCATTTTCATGAAGAGCTTGTCAATTTGAAGCTCAGACGACATTACTTGGCTGGACTCGAGAATGCTGGACAAGTCAATAATGTCTAGCCCGACACTTGATATGTCTAGAGACCGTTCTCCAGCAGAAACACCATTTTGCTCAATCCACTGTTGTCTCCTCTGATCCTCTTCCATCTGTTGGGGAATTAGAATCTCTTCTTGCACAACATCACGGCTGATCTCAAGAAGGGAATCAATAGTCTGGCAGCCAACGTCGACGGTTTTTGCCGAGGTGGCCGTCTTGAGTAACCATTCATGTTTCTCAGCAAGCTGCGAAGATTTGCCACCGGCGCCAATAGCGCTCCAGGAAGCGATAGCATCTTGGATCACAGCACGAGCGGCCCTCTTTGCTCCACGTCTGACCAAAAACTCACCCTGCAGCTCAAGGGCCAAGGCTTCCTCAAGGGGCCAACCATGGATTTGACAATGGTCGATCGCAGACTCGAAGCCCTGGATGGCGGCGCTATGATCGTTGCGAACCTCGGAGATCAGGGCTTCTAAAATTAGAGCCCACATGCCATAATTTACTTCTGATGCATCTCGAGCAAAATCGATCTCGGCCTTGTATTCCAACAGTGTGTCCATCTTCCCGTCGAGATATCCTTGGGAGGGATTGTCATTGTGAAGTGTGAGGAGTGAGGCTGCCAGATAGAAATAAATCACGTAGGACACACGTGCCGACCAGAGCCTGTGCCTAGTGAACAAAAGTTGAGTACCCACTTGAATCGTTCGGGTGTGGTGACCGAACAGGAACAATGGGATCATGGCAAGACCCCAGTAGATGTCACGAGGTCTATCAGCGTTGGTGGAGTGAACATCCAAGTGCATCATGTACTCAGATGTGTTGTGATTGGCGTCTGACATGATGCCGTCGGCAGATCGGTAATCAGTTTTTCCTTGCAGAGCGCGTGAAACTTGCTGGACTGCAATAAGACTAGCCCCGCCGCGGGTGTCTTGTTTCCACTTGGGAATTTCTTCGGGGGTCTCCGCGCAGAAAGCTTCCAGCTGTGCCATGTCTTGGCCCAGATACAATCGAGTCATGGCCATTGATGAGATGCTGATCAGGGTGAGGTATGGGTCACCCATTGAGAAAGAAGCCTCGAGCGAAGCTTCCAAAGCAGGTAGTGTTGATGCCATAGGAACACGTAAATGGCTGACGTAGAGATTATGAACGATCGAGCCTCTGCTCTGAGTCGACAACTCAGGGCAGAGCTCGAGTAGTTCCAGCGAAAGGTCGCTAAGTCTTGTGCCAAACTCGGTATCTTTGAAGCGACCCAAGGAAATCATGGCAAGATGGGAGCAACCTATCGCGATCTGTGTGAACCCACCCTTGAAGATATGAATGCTCATCACTTCAAGCGCCATCCGATAGAAAGTCAATGCATCGTCCCAGTACGTGACTGTCATCGCCTCCGCCATGACTGCGCCGATAGTCACTATAGTGGGGTCCTTGGAGACTGGCTTTCGACCAATAGAGCTCATGTCGGCAGTTTCGAGATAGGACTTGAGGCGCAGATAGGCAGAGTCACACTCCTCGTAAGTTGTAGGTTGACGAAGATGGACACCAAGCTCATCGAGGCAGGTGAGAAGCGATTCCATCGAGCGATGATGATCGCCTATCTGAGCAAAGATTTTGGCTTTAATGATCCAGGCTCTCGACTTGCATACGGCGTCCTTGCCATGAACAAAAACCTCGTTGATCAACTGGAGGGCATCGTCATTGTGACCCTGGGACCACGACATCTCAGAGGTCGTGATAAATAACCGCATTGTCTCATCGTAATAAACATCGGGTTTGAGCTCATTCCACATATCATCCTGAAGTAAAGCGATGCAATGACGGAAGTACCAAAGTGCGGACGGCCGCGCGCCCGACTGGAAAGCAGTTTGTCCGGCATCCCATAAGATCCGTCGATATTCGAGCCGTCTGGTCACACGAGACTTGATAGTCTTCGAGGCAAGTGCCACATGGTGAGCCATTGAATAGCGACTGCGATGGTCGTGGTAATATTTCATCAACACTTGTGAAACGATGAAATGCATCTTTTCTACATTTCGGCCCTCGCTTAAAGAAAGGGCAGCTTGTGCAAGTCGTTCATTGCCGAACCTAGGAAAATTAGTAAGGTTTTGGCTATAGCAGTAACCAACAGTAGATGTCTCACCTAAACTCATCGTCGGTCTTTCCTGTGTTCAAAAGGTTCGCTTGGACCAAGAACTGCAATCCAACAACTATATCACCCTCTGATTGTCTGATAAGTGTGACATTTTGCGGTGATGTGAGATCGACATCCTCATCGTCATTGCTCGAATAGAGAAATTCACTTGTCAAGAGCTTTTGCACCAGAGAAAACGAGAAAGGGCTGCCCAGAAGAGATCCCCAGACCATGATTGATCGGGCGGCTTGAGGGATGTCCTGAAGACGCTTGGTAAGGAATCCAAGTCCAAGTCCTTCGCCGTAGACAGGAGCCACAAACTCCGTAAATATCCGGTCAAGGTCGAATAACCACTTTGAGTCCTTCCATGAGTACCAAATGCAGTTGGTTCTGTAACAAGTGTCAAGCATGACCCGAACGTAGAAGGGATTTCCTCGGCTTTTCTCCTGAACAACCGCACAGAGTGGTGTCAATGTTCGATCGGGTTTCTGGTGCATTGTCGTCGCCACAATTTCCATGACATGCTCCTCT